ATTAAGATGATACTTACATAAAGCTTGCCTACTCTTCATTCTGAAACAGCAAAAGCAGCTATGTCAATAATGTCACACATTTCTAGAGAGGATTTCTCTCTGTGGATTGGCTGCATTAAAAAGGTTTATATAAAACAGGAAGGTCCATAAAAGTCACTAATTGAAGTCACTGCCAGTTTGATTTTACTGTGCTGGTTTTAAGATCCTTTCAGGTTGTCACAAGGAACATCAACCACCATATTATAGATTTCTCTTTCCTTCTGTGTCTGAGTTTCTGCTGCTTCAGTCTGGGACCTCTGTGTCAAACAAAAAGATCCCCCCACTGCCAGGATCTCACTGGCAGTGGGGGGATCAAGACCTAGGAGAGAGAAGGAGGGCTACTCAGCAGCAGCTGCTTTTCCCACACACCTGTAGTTTCCATCACACTGTACAGGGATGCTGCACATTTAGCACAGGGTAGAAGAGGTGGCTTCAGACCTTGACTGTACTTTTTGAGTTGAATTTTGCAGTATTGTGAGCCCTGTGCATGTACTGGTAATGTGCACATGGACAACACCTCCTGGACTACCAGCAAATAGCTCCATTTAACTGACTGTGATGTCTCCAATCTCCTTATCTGAAGAACCAGCTGTGGAATCAAGTGAAATGGCTAGGCTTCCTTTGCTGATGCCTGCCAAGGGCTGCCAACAGGAATATGCTGCCTAGCAAAAACATGACTCCAAACAGGAGCTCCAAAGATGAGACACAAAGCTCCAATAGGTATTGATGTTTCAGTTTTCCATGGCAGACATTGACAGGTGCCTTCCAGAAGGGAGATGAACTGAAGGACTCAGTAATATGAAAAAAACTCTTTGTGTATCACAATCCATCTCTTCCTGCTTTACAACAGCATAGCCCAGTCTCCCCAGTGATGCTGTGATAGAACAAGTTCACAAGTGACTGGGCAATAAGGAAGTTTGAGGTCATAGTGCTCTGAGAAGTCCCATCAGAAGCAGGGTCAGCTGGAGAGAGCACAACAGTTCCTAGCCAGCTCAGCCCATAACCAAGGCAATTTAAATCTGTGCTGCTTTGAGGTGCCAAAGGACAAGTCACAGAGCTCCTTCATTCAATACAACAAGAGGCAAAACACAGAAATTGTTTTCTTTGAATGCTGAAGGACTTGTTAGTCACCACCATAGTACCTGATTCATGGTTTGGAAACACAGTTCTTCTGGGGAGAATAATCTGAGTTAAAAAACGAAGTGGACCAAGGAGCTCTGCAAATTTGATGTTGGGAAGATGGACCTGCCTGACAGACTGTACTGCCATTTCCTGCCTCTCTGTTTGGGTTTTGCACATCAAAAATTTAGCAGACTGTACATTTCTTGGGATAAGCTTTGCCCCCAGACAAAAATTACATGTCCTGTGGCAAAGACTTCCCTTGAGAAGTACACAGTTGACCAGAGAGAAGCTTATGATGGAGAAAAGGTATGAAGTATGAAAGAGGAAGTGGAAGTCAAAATGAATGATTTTCCTTTCCTTTTCCTTGCAAAGAAAATCCAGGAAAAAACAGGCTGCTGTGCATAATGTAAGCTAGGAAGAGAAAGTAGAAGTGGTCTCTTTGCATTTTTGTGTCCTATGTAGGAGGCAGGATACAGCCGTAGATATGTCCCTTGCATCAGAGCTAAAGACTTCCTGTTTGAGTGCATGGCCTCACATCCTTAGTATGACCATGAGCAAGTGCCTAAAAAAGAACAAAAAGACATCTTACTACAAAGTTTTATGCTTTCATTTCACAATGAACTAGTGGAAAACCAGCAACATGGTGAGAGGTAGGGGGGAGAAATGCTATGTTCTCATCCAATTACGATGTGCAGCAAGAAATCCTCTACTGCTTCCACAATGATTTACACAAAGAGGAAGGAATATGGCTGAACAATCAGCCAAGCCACTTACTCCTCACTTCACTTTAAGTTCACTACTTTCTCAGCCTCTCCTGAGAACTAATAGCAGATATGATGTTTCTGGATAAAGCAAGTGAAGTATCTCAGTTTGTTTCAGTTGATACAAATTTCTTCCAGACTCATGGCTAAGGGACTAAGAAGCAGTGATCAGTCCAGTGAAGGGATGGGGAGAAAACATAATACTATGCTCTTTTCTTTCCCTCTTTTTCTTTTTTTCCCTCTAAAAAGGAGAATAATATATCTTTGAATAGTGAGAAATACATTTTTTTTTTCCTTGATGGAAGATTTCTAGGAGAAAAGATCAATATGATGACTGATTGCTTCAAACATTTTTATACTACCTGTCACTGACCCCTGAATGGGATGTATTCTCTGCATGAGACAGGGCCTGCTGAGGAGCTATTGGATGAGCTTCTGTAGACTATGAAGTACATCATCATGGCCAGTCTTCGTGAACGAAGAACCAGGGAAGGTTTGTTACACCTTCCAGCCTGCGCATTGGATTTTTTAGGTGAGGCACAGTGTGCGCAGAACTGAGCCCACCCTTTAATCCTGAGGTTCATCTGCCGGGGCCAAGTGAGCTTGGACCGTGGCAGCGAGGTCCTCAGGACGTAGATGGATTGCCTTACAGGGCTAACAAACTCCATCTGCCCGGGGAGGGGCCCTGACCGGGAAACAAACCCGGGCCTTGGCGGTGACAGTGCCGCGTCTTAACCACTAGACCACCAGGGGCTCCCATGAAGTACAAATCACTTTATGAGTATAATAGTCCCTCTTGACTTCCTAAAATGCATTGGTAAATACATCATTCACCTCCAATGAAAGGAGGACCATTTACCATTTACATCTAGTTCAGGGGAGTATTTGGAGAACTAATTATCTCACTAAACCAGGAGAACTTTGATACCCCACCACAAAGTTATACACATGACAGTGTTAAAAGCAGGTGGCCACTTTGGCTTGTCGCTCACCCAAACGTCACAGCAAGTTTTTGCGAGAGATAGTCCTGCTATACCTGATAAACCTCTCATCATGACCTCACACTCTAGGTAATACAGACAGACAGACAGTGAAGTGCTTTCAGGACAAAGAGGATGAGGGAATCTGGCTACTTGCATCTGATTTAGTCAAGCTTTGGGAACTTTCAGATTTGCTGTTATTATTTGCATGGGGAGGTCTTTGCATTTCAAAGCACCATGTATTAAATAAGTATAAACTGTCAGGACAAACTTAAATTACACTAGCAGGTATTCTTTTTTTAATTTGTCCCTTACATGCAACTCAACTATAAAAATAAATCTTCAATTGCCTTCTAAACTGAAAACATAGTCCTTTCATAGGATCACAAAGGACTGTGGTTTTTTATGACCTTTTCTGCAGTTGCACACAATTGTTGATTACTGCACTAAAATACTGTGGGTGTAAGTAGTTAAGAAGTCAGAAAATATTAGGTAGTAAAGATAAAAGCTTTTGTTTCAGAAATGTTCTTGCACATAGTTCTCATTTGTCCTCAGCTGAGAAATAAAAGAGAGCTTTATCGTTATTACTCTAATTATCACTGCTGTTGTTGCTATTATTTATTGCTGCTTTGGCCAAAAAGAAGTCTCACTTCATCAGGGAACTATCAAGCAACAAGACTCCCCCAGCCCAGGCATGTTAGCTTTGCTTTTGATTCCTTCAAACATTATCAGGTCTGACCAGTGTCACATCCAATCTATGCAACACGAGCCGCACGAGGAGCTGTCACAAGAGAACAGCTTGGAGAAGCTGAGCTCTAAAACTAAAATGTTTACTTTGCACTGCCTCAACATCGTTTATCTTTCTTCTCAGAAGGCAAGTGCAGAGTGAAACCATCCTTGTGCCAGAGCTGTGACCAAGAACTCTTTGGCACAGGCTCAGAGCAGCTGAACATCCAAAAGATGTTGCCGTTTAAATGTGAGAATGCTCAGTTGCAAAGATTCTGCTGTTTAGTTGCTGACAGCCTGAGAACACTCAACATCAGCGTTTTCTTAAACTGGGACCAGCTTCCCTGCAGAGTCTGGATCTTGCAAGAAGCACCAAAGACATATTTAACACCAAATCCTTCAACCAGTTATAATGCAATTTACAGAACAACTAAAATGCACAGGACAGATATGTTGTCCTGAACCCAAGCTCAGCCTTTAAGTGTCTGTGTCACCAACTAGTACAAGAAGATGCTTCTCACTAATTTTGTCAAATGTTACTATTGTAATTCACTTTTAAATTCAACAGAAACCATAATTTTTGCTTTCTCTTTTTCCAAGTTAGTACATGGGAAGACAAAGTTCATTAACAGTGTCACGACAGTGACTTTGGGTTTTGAATTTTTTTGGTTTTGTATGTTTGTTTGTTTGTTTTTTCATTTTCTTTTTTCTTTTCCTGAGGACCAAAAAAGCCCCTAAAACCTGTAAAACTTCATGAAGCTGCTAAAACATCTATTGTTGGCAAAAAATGAATTTTCATTGATAAGGGAGAAACAATTGCCCAATTCACTGTTATGTCTAGTACATAGGCAAGAGGAGGCCAAAAGGTCACTCACAAATGGCTAAACATACCAGACGCTATACAAGAACAATTCCTTCTTGTGGGCTTGACATGGAAACCACATTTCTAAGGCTCCTTAGTTTGTTACCTCTTAAAATCAAGAACAAATAAAATTCCTGACCTATATTTAACATGCTACATCCTGACACTTGCCTTGCTTTCCGCAGAAACAATTACTTACCTCTCTTTCATTCCCAACTAAGCTGGCTGGTATTCTAGGAATTTGCTGCACACTATTTCCTAAATCCTCACTCAAGTTTGCACTGAAGCAAACCCATTGATCCTGTTCTTCTTGCTTGTTTTGATTCAGTTCAAAATGAGGATTTTGTTATTCCTGCCCTTTCCTGAGCTCCTGCCCTCAGATTGCCAAGGCCAAAACTCACAGCTCACTGTGGCTTCCATGGAGCTGCAAAGGCTTTGTGACGTCCGTATGAAACAAACATGATTTTCTCAGTAAAGCCGAGCTTTCATGGATGTTCCCCATCTACTGACCTCCAACAACGGCCTGGGTTTGCGCTCCACTGCAAACCTGAAGTGGCAGAGTTCACAGTAGCTGGTGTTTGAAAAGGACAGCCAGTGCTCCAGGCAGCTGCGGTGAATGGTCCCCAGGGTCCCTGTACATTCGCAGGGGGACAGCAGGTCCTCATGGCTTCTGCCCTCGTGGCAGATCCTGCAGATTGGCCGGTCATTGAAGGGGCTGCTGGAGGAAGAGGAGAGAAAATCACTGGTCAGTACATCATGCATGTCACAAATGAACAGTGTAGGAGACACTTGCAGGTTGAGTACTTTGCTCTGTAATTACTATTTCAAGCTGCTGAGCTAATGGAAAGTGTAAAGTGAAAAACACCAGAGTGGTAGGTGAGAGACAGATGACCAAGTGCTTTTGCATTTTTGTTCTTCCCACCTCTTCACAGAGCAGTGGTGCAAGAAATCTCCAAGTGCATCAGGGAAGTTTTAAATCTACTTCAGCTGGACATCTCTTATGTAGTGGTGATGTGTGTCATCACTGCTCATGTACAGGGTGCCACCTCTTATTTCAGTGGTGATACTCTGGCCTTTTCTTTTGCATTGTCTCTCCTCAATCCACCTACCTTCCTGATGGGAAGTGCTAACATGCAATGAGATAAGGATGCTCCTCCTGCCACTGATAACCTAAAGACTCCAATTTTAACTCTTAAGATGCTCTGTTTTACAGAGGAATCTTTCAGGAAAGAGGAAGGCAGTTCTCAGGTGGTGCCTGGGTGCAGCTGGAGGAAAGAGGAAGCAGGCTGGGAGCTCTGGTGCTGCTTAAACATGGGGCCTCTTCACTGCAGCTTCAGCTCAGCTCCCCTGACTGCCAAGGTTGAGGTCTTGGTGTATGTGGTAGGGAGAGTTTTTGTTTCCAAGTCAGGTGATCTCAGAAATGAAGGTTTTGTCACTACCACTGTCAAAACATCACGCTGGTTTGGGAAAGGTTGAGGAAATGTGCCATATTACGTAGCATAATCATTATGATGCTGTCAGAAGCAATATAACTTTCCTAATAACTTTTCTAATTAATTGTTTTAATTAACCATAAGCAGTGTGTATGTCCACTGTAACCAGTGTTTCGCAAGGTTTGTCATAAGCTGCCGTTGTGAGAACACAGTTTGGGAAAATCACTGAAACTTTAGGTTTTGCTTCAATGAACAAAGGCTGAAAAAGATATACTGGACACAAGGAATGCAGAATTTATAGACCACAATTTGAGGTAAAAAAGAAACTAACAAAGACAATTCAACAGTTGTACTGAAACATTCTGTATCTGGGAATAAAAAGATAATAAAAAAGACTGAAAATGCAGATTGATTAGCCTAAGTGAGAAGCCAATAAATGTTAGAATACTAATCAATGAAAAGAATTATGCAATTTATAGACAATGAACATTAGTTTCTCTGTTTGCTAGAATGTATGAATGGTGAAAAGTGTGTGTGCATGAGGAGCAACCCCATGCGTGCGCAGCGCTGTTAATAAATTAACGCCTGCTTTCTAATACTAAAAAAAATAAGAGTTTGATTTATCCCCTCAGTGACAATACTAGAATGAGGGTTCAATGACAAGTGCACTGCTTCATGAAGCACAGCACCACATCCTTCCTTCAAGCTCCCACGAGGTTTGCAGAAGCAGTGTGCATCCAGTAGGGAAGGGCCCACCCCAACCCACTGTCCCCACATACCTCTGTGTCACAAGCGTCCTCACAACAGAGGAGAGCAGCTGCCCGTCTTTAGATGACACTTGCATGACATACTGAGGGCAGCTGCTGGCTGGGGGACCGCTGCCACCAGGCAGGGCCTTGCCCTCAGGAGCTGGTGGGTGCTCCGGTGGCACTCCTGGCAGGTGACTGCAGCGGCTTGTCCTCATGGTGCTGGGCAGCAGGTCCCCATCTGGGCAAGAGGGAGAACAGGGTAGTGGTGTGGGCACATTAACCCCTGTCTGCCATCCCTGTGAGCAGAAACATTCCTGGCTCCCCATCTCAGACTCCTGGAGCCCACTCAGCAGCTTAAAACATTATGTGACACTGAAAAACAGAGTGTACCTCTCAGACACAGCAAGACAGAGCTTTGTGCTGCTTTTTTTTCCCTCTGCAGACTCCTAAGGTCACAAGTGATAAACGGAAAGACTGAACCATTTGTTACTCCCCCTCCTTTGAAGCATTTCAAAGGACTTCATACAATCTTCATTTTGTGCCCTTCTCAGTTTAAAGGCTGCTACAGTCTGCCTATTGCAAGAGTTATGTATTGGAGGAGAAAACAGCTGATGGGCTTCAAATCCCCCTTGAAAACACTCCACTGCTGCTTAGTGTCTTCTATCACTAGCCCAAAGCCCAGCACAGACCTGGCAATTAATCCTGTGCAGGGCTTTAGTCAAACAGACCTGCTTAATCACAGCCTGCACGCAGTGGTAATTTATGCCACAAGGTGAGGCAGAAATCACAGCTAGCTAGTATATTTCTTCTCTGCTTTGCTCTTTAAAGTGTGTTTTGTATGGCACTTTCAGCTGTGGTAATTGGAAAGGAAGTATTATGCTGGTCGCAAAGAGTCTGGGAATATGAATTCCTGGTACCTTGGGTAGGATGCTCCTGGCTGGGCAAGGGGAGGCTGAGTGGTTCCACAGGCTGTGTTCCTGGAGGATTGCTCTTCAGGTCAGCATGTTTACAGGGTGGGTTAATCCCTCTGCAAAAGGGAGAAAAAGACTTCCTAGCAAGCCTTGAGACACTTGGCTACAGTCACATATAAACTTTGCAAATTACAACTAGATATTCACGTGTTGCACAGAATTTAAACCCTAAAAAAACCTGCATTTTGCATCAAATACCACAGTCACACTACACTGTAGTACCAGTACTGCGGTTGTACCATGCAAATTTTCACACAGGGACTCATATTCTTAGAAATGCATCTAAAATGGGAAAATGCTTTGCAAAATGTTTGCTTTACAGGATTATTTTAGCTATTTTCAGATCACAAATACCCCAGAGAGTGAACTGAGACAGCTGATGGGGATACAGTGTTCAGACAATGCGGAAGGAAATCAGACTCCGGGCCTCATTTACAATGGAAAGGAAGCAAATGGCTGATTTCAAAACCATTAACATATAAAAGATTCAGAGTTTTTAAAGGGAATAAGAGCCGGGGACTCTCCAAGGAGACCATAATATTCAGCAACATTTTAGTTTTAAAATCTATACTGACTATGTTTGACAAAAATATTCAGCAGCTGAGTAGCTGCTTCATTAAACTTCAAAAGCCTAAGAAGTATCATGCTTACAGACTCATGCTACAGAATTATGTATTTCTTTTCTGATTGGTTCACTGACCTCATTAAGTACAACAGTGGGTTTATAATTTTGTATAAAGTGACCATCCAAGCTTTTACAAACACTTCCATCAATCATTTGATGAGTTGAAGCACTTGCTGAAGCATCAGAAGATGCAACTAAATGCAAAGCTTTAAAGCACATGAGAAATAATGTAGCTATATCTCAGCAATTATGTTAATTCAAACTTCTGTGTGCAGTACTGCATTTGATATTCCACTTTGGCAAAGCAAATACACATAAATACTTTCTACTTCATTCTTTTTTTAAAAGAAATTTAGAAGTTACAATATATTTTTCTGATTTCACAAGAACCATTTTCACACTAATCTGTGTGTGTGCCTGAAAAGTAATACAATTATAGAATTAAATAATATGTTAAAAATAATAAAATTAATTAATAAGAATTAAATATTAATATTGAACCTCATGGTAAATAATGAAGATTAGTTGTACTGAGAAGCACAGAGATCCTAAACAAATTTGAAGCCAAAGCTATTATTAAGTAATTGTAAATTTTAACAGTCCCTAAACCCCAAAATCAGTATTTACCCATGTGTATGTATTCTGTTCTGTCAAAATACTTTGCACCTGAAGGAGGTGGAAATCTGTCAAAAATACTGTAATAGGAGAGAGAAAAAACAGAACAAAAGCAGGAAGATGTGCTTAGCAGTATTTATGAAATTATGCAATATTTAATTGGGGAAGCCAGAATACCGATATTTATTTCAGATGCCAGAAAACTGAAAGAAAAGTGTCTGGATTTGGTATGAAGAATAAATATTTGAAGAAATTTAATAATTAGTTCTTTTTTCTGTTCTGTGTTACTACACCCACTCACCGTCAACACCTCTTTCTTGACAAAATCTATTCTAAGACTACCCTACTACTGTAATATTTAAATCAGATCTTTCCCCATTCTTGTTTTTCTGCTTTGATTTTGGTACCAGTCTCTAATTTCTTTTTCTTACCTCCATGACATGAGAATTAAAGTCTTAAGCTCTCCCAGGGGAGGTTTAGGTTGGACATCAGGAAGAAATCAGACATTGGAATGGGCTGCCCAGGGAAGTGGTGGATTCACCACCCCTGGAGGTTTTTAAGATGAGATTGGATGTGGCACTCAGTGCCATAGTCTAGTAACCAAGGCAGTGTTGAATCAAGGGCTGGACTCGATGATCTTGGAGGTCTTTTCCAACCTGGCTGATTCTATGATTCTATGATTTTCTTCTCGGTGTTGAAAAAGTCTCTCTTTCAGAGTGACTCTCCAATTTCAGCTCTTCCAACAATATGAAGCACATCCATCTTCCAACTATCTTGACTTTGCATGATCCTTAGAGAAAAATTACTATGCACAAAAGATCCATGGTTTAATTAAACTACTGTTATGGGTTTAGCTACAGCAGGACAGAAGGCAGGACTGGTTGGAAAACCTCTCTGAGAAGCTGAACACTTAGGCAGATAAACTGATTGTGACTAAGGCACATCTCACCGCAAGTACATTAAGACGCTCCAGAGACTAAAACACGCATTGCAGTGACAGGATGACTTGCTGTGTGGTCCCTCAGCTTCCCCTTCCCACTGGAAAATGCAGAAGAAGAGCCAAAAGTCTCAACTCCAGAGTACCGTGAAACTTCCTAATTTTTTACCTACTAGGAAATGAAGTGGGATACTGTGAAGATGGGATGGACAGAACCTTTCTAAAAGAGCAGGAATCCCCAGGGCACCTGAAAATCTTATTTTAGTAACTCTGACAGACATGAAATTTTCTGTGCATCATGTCCAAGATATTCATAATGGGATTGTTTTAAATATTTCTTGATTCTTTGCTCCACAATCCACCACAAAGAGTTTCAAGGATCCCCTCCTGGTTTCAATCACACTGAAGCTACTGAGTAAAGGAACTAGTGGAGTTAACTGGCAGTTCCAATTGTAGCCCTAGATGCTGTTCACCAACATGGGGGATAGATGCATAATTTTTTTTCAGATTTTTCAGTTTCTTAAAAATCAGCTGGCAACTGTCAGTTGATCATTGCAACTTAGGAACCCTGTGCCATGGGAGATGCATGAAGAGCAGGTAAAGCCCGGGATCCTGAGCTGCTGCCCCTGTCCCCTCTGGCACTCCTGACCATGTCCTGTCCCTTCTGCATTTGCTTCCTCAAGACACCCAACTCATCAGCAACTTTTACTCTTTTATCTGGACTGAGCTCCAGTTCTGTTGCATGAGCCTGTGTGTGTATGCACCAGGGTTATTCTTTGAAGTAAGAGCAGCAGCTAAGGCCAGAATTCCTAATGGGAAATTCCTACCATCTTAGTGGATCGAAGGATCAGCACAATTAGTACGTTTGCTCTTCTTTGCTAAAAAACAAAGAGAATAAAAAGGTGCAGTAACTCTGAGCAAAAAATATCTTAACCTCACAGGATGTGCACCCAAAGACCCCTAAGTCCTCCAAAGCAAGAAATTAATTTCTGCAACTTGAGAAGATGAATTCCTGTATCTGACAATCATATGTAGCTTAGTATATACAAGACATGTAAGATGCTGCTTAACCTGTTCATTATGGAGATGTAAAGCCCTCACTGGCATCAAGCTATCAGTGACAGAGGTAGCACTAGGACACAGCAGTTCTGGAACACGGTGAAAGTAGGAAAAGGTTGGAGAAAATTTTTGTTAAAGATCCATATAACCTGGTCAACAGCATTTATTCTGCAACAATTACACCACCACAATCTCCCAAGGAGCTATGAGAGACAACTGAATGGTGCAAGAGGAAAATGTAGTAATTGTTCACCAGTTGAGCAGGACACATTTCATATTAAAGCATTTCAACAGACAGACCAAATACCACTGATATTAAGCAGTTTTACTGTGTTTCAGCCCACACTGTATTAATTTTTCATGCTGAAGGTAGCATTTTCTATTCAGGTAGTGGCACTGCAGAGAGCTCCAGGACCTCTTAAAACTACCATGCAGTAAGCTGCGTGCAAAGTGCAATTTTATAAACAAGCACATCAAAGAACTGAGTGCTAGTCCGAGCCAGCAGCACAAAGCAGTTTAGCATGAACAGTCCTTAAGAGTCTGCCCATGCATTTAAAACTTCACTGCCCACCCATAAATCAGTGGGGTTTTGTTATGTACCGAACTTAAACCACTTTACCACGAGAGCAATCAAAGACATTTTTGGTACTGTGGACCTGAATACAATGTTTTATATGTCTGCACAGCCACTAACTTGGTTCATTTGCTTAGATTTTTTTTTCTTTTTTTAGGTTGTTGTAATGAAAGATGCCACATGATGATACATACCATAAGTAGTTGTGGTCACAGCAATTTAGTCTTGCACTAATAAGACAAAATAGGATATAAATATGGCTTACAACTTATCTGGAAATAGTAATAATAGTTTCTTTCAAAGCATAAGGAAATATACACCTTTTCTTTTCTAGTATTAGACTTTTCTAGTGGAAATGTCTTCCTTCACAGAAGTTGGAATGAAAGACAGTGGATTTCCCCCCCTGAGCTGAACAAGCTGCTGCAAGGTCTTCTGGAGCAACGTGAGCTGCAGAAAACCAGTATTTCCACAACTTCCCTTTGCATAAATGGGTTACATGTGTCTGCAGAAACCGGTAGAACATAGGCAAGAATAAAACAGCCTAATGTGCTTTACTGTACCTTACTAAGCATAGTTTTGGAAATAGATGAGTGTTTCTTATATGCTGGCTTCCAAACAGTGGGTGATATCCTCTGTACTGTGCCCAAATGCCTTAGTTAGGAGGACAGGAGTGTGAGTGGTAAAGGTTATCCTGTGTAAGGTAGTACTAAAGAGACACTGCTCCAAAATAAGCATCCTCAGAGAGGAATGATGTAGTAGTTTTACTGACAACCTTGAGTGGAGGAGTCAAAATGATTAAGAATTTCTCATCTTCTTTACCCAACCTCCTCTAATTCACTTGCCACTACAAAACATCTCTTTACCAGGCTTCCTCAGCTGAGAAAGCTGGAGGCCAAGGCTTGTTTGCATCTGTTTCTGGGCAACTATACTCATGTGGAATCCCTGCAAATGGAGGAAGGTGTTCACCCTAACATGTTCTTAAATTCCTGTTCTTCCATCGCCATATCCACTTGAGAACCTCACTCCCTTCTTTCCCCACTGCTGCCCACAAACTTCCTGTTTATTCTGGCCCCAATAACTGGCCAGTTTTGGGGGACAATGGGACAAAGCTTCCCCCAGACACATCCCTTCCCTCCCACCAGCCTGGCAGTGGCTGTACTTGGGGAGTCACACCAACCCTCCACAGGCTGCAGCTACAAGGGTGTGAGTTACCCTGCCAGCAGAAACCCAAAGCTATCTTTGTTAA